GGAACCCAAAAAATCCCCAAGAAATGGTGCGTCGTTCATTAAATACCATCACAAACACAGAATTATTCTCGAAAGACGGAAACGAAATGATCGAATCGCATACCACATGCCCATCCCGTGACGCCGAGGGTAGGCTCTTCCTTGAGCCCCGACCTCGGGGTCTCTTCCTTGCCGCCGACGCGGATCTCGATCCTCGCCTGGAGGAACAGCGACCGCCGGAGGTGGCGCAGCCTCGGACCCCATCGCCCTCCTCGTCCGAGGAGGAGAGCACCAGCACGGGATTCCTCTTCCGCATCGAAAACCCTAATCGGAGAGTAGGGTTTGGCGGGGCTGGGGAATTGGGAGGGAAAACAGATAGTCATAGGCTTCTCCGGGAAGGCATCGGAAGAGAGACGCACATCGAATTTTAAAAAGGACTTGTTTACTTGAGCCAGGACTATTGGGCATCTCCTAGCCCAAGTCCGGCCCATGGGATACCCGCAGTCAAACTCAACCCACCTAGTCACTGATCCAATCCAGTAAAGTAAACATAGGACTAAAGAAGTTAATTTTGTATAGTTTATTTGAGTTTTTATAAATCAATTTAATTCTTCCTCCATAATAATATATATACAATGCTTAAAGCATCAAAGAAAATAAAATTCCAATATACATTATTCAAGTGATGAGTGCTACACTTTTCACGGGATCATAGAGAGCTGCTGCTGGGCGCTGTAATCATGTGTGGTGACTGAATCTAATTGTCTCCCGCAGTACACATGCTCTTCTTCCCGAGACAGCCATGACTATTATTAATTTCTCCCGCCAAGCATAAGATCCGCCAAAACAGCCGATGGGCCACGGAAGACAACAGCACCGACACCCTCTGTGGCCGACGGGAGATCCACCGCCAGAGATTCTCGTACATGTAGCTTATTGACTGCAGCGTGATTCCAGTGAATGCGTGGTGAGATTCGTGCAGGCAGCATGTCACGTTAGGTGCCACTCTCATGCATCTACCACTCGAAGCATCGTTAGCCACCTTGTAGTTGTTCCGGAATAATAATAATTTGTGTGGACCTCGGCGTTCTTGCATCCACGGAAACAATAATTGCGATCTCCTCCCAGTGCCGGTAGAGAGATGCAAGGCACATTGTTCTTGGTCATCCTCCTCGGAGCATGTTTTGTTGAAGGTAACACGAGTGTCGAGCATGTTTATCGTTTACTTATCGTTAGTAGATCATATAATCTAAGCTAAAAAAATGAAGTATAATAATCGATAACATACGTGTCTAAAAATGACTGAGAAGGTAACACGAATGTTTATTACTCATCAGAAAGGCTAAAGTCAGGTATATCATATCATTCGAGTTGATAGTCACGCGGCAAATTATGATTAGATAAGTTCTCCTCCTATCAAAAACAAAAATTATAAAATTATATATTATATATGATGCTCTTATGATTATTCGAACTTAAAATATGTCATCTATTTAATAATGCATTAGTCAATTAGATATCTCGATAGAGGTTAATATAAAAATAATTAGTTATTACTCAATATGATGAAAGAGATATTTTCAAAAATAATTCAAGAATTTCCTGAAGGATCATCATATGAAGATTTAGAAATTCGGCATTTTAATAGAACAATTTTTGAATGAAATGAATTTATTAGTAGTAATTTTATTTTTATGTGTTATTAGTAGTATTTTTAATTTTAAGTGAGAGCAAAATCCAAAAATAAAATAAAATTTATTTGATATGAGATAATACTGTTTTTTTTTTAGATGAAAAATTCATCCACTAGCTTCATAAATTTGCAAATTCTTATGGAATGATTAGGATCTAAAGCTTTCTGAATTATTCCAATAACTTTGGATAATATTTAAACGAGATGTAGACATTTTATATGTTATAGAATGTTTTTAGGGTGAAAAATGTTTTTTTAAGAAGAATGCAGTCGTCATTTTTATTGAAACGTAATTTTATACGAAATGCAATGTTAGGCATGAAAATGTGAAAATAAAGTAGGTAGGAAAGAAAAACTTTCTCGATTATCATTTTTGTCAATGTTCCATCTTATAGTCGTAATCACGATAATACTTTTGGGTCAAGTGACATTAGAAAAAATACGTTGAAAGTGAAGGATGATTGGTAAAAAATAATTTATGCAAGCACCAATATCTATGAAGGAAATATTATTATATTCACATAATTCATAGAACCAAGTGCCAAAGTGACAAGTGGATTCAGTTGAATGTTGTATAAACCAATTAAAGAGTGAGATGTGCCCGATGAACATCATCAATAATAATATTGGATCGAATGAATGTATATTTAACACTTAAGTTAAATATATATATAATTAATAATATCGGATTGAAAGGAGTGAGAACCTAATGGTCGAGTCAACATACCTAACATTTTTTGTAATCGTTGGCACTTAGTGAAGAGTTATTTCGCGAGAACGATCTGAAGTAGTCATCGCATGTCAATCACGAAAAATCGTGTTGTATAAACCTCATGAAAAATCGTCACTCAAAGTCTCATTTCTATCACTCGAGTCCACGTGGAAAACGTCTTAACTTTCCAACTTTTGACCATTCCGGTGGACCATCCAAAAGACTACGACTTCAAAGCCATCCCCCAAATCCAACTTCAGTTACGGTCAGTAACATGAACCCCTTAAAAAGAAGGTGTGGGTGTCAGTCGATGTCGTGTTGCTTGCAATGCAATCCATGGCCCATAAATATCTCCACGTGAATTTTATATTCGGATCGATGTAGATGGGTTCATTGCGTGTGGCGGGACCTACTGATCCGGTTCCCATCATCTTGGGTCCCAGTGTTTCACCTCCTTCACCTGCCACACAATTCTGAATCCTCTCTTCAGGCTTCACACAGTTCCGTCTGTTAATTGTCTGCGCACTTGTCTATTATTATGCGTACTTCCTTACCCTAAAGGATGCTACAACGCATATCTGAAAGGTAGGTGGATGCTTCTCATGCGAGGAATATATTTGAGTCGTGTTAATCGTGCCCTTCCATACGGGACCTTTCAAAATGATTCGTTGAAGACGAAGGTGAATTCGTTTCGGTGATCTCTTCCGGTGAGGACACAACGAGGGATTCGATACCTTCGCTCGTATGACGGACTCGTTGTCGCCGGTCACCATCACTTGCTGGCTAAGCGAGCGAGTGAAGTCGGCGTCGGGCTCCCACCCGCCACAGCTGGTAACCGAGTCATTTACCGTTGTGTCGGTCGAGTGCGGTGACCAGTTATCTCGCTTTCCCGCGAAAAAGGGGGCGGCTATTTTTAACCGCAGGCATCAACTACTCTCTACTTTGGTGCTTCGCCCTCAAATCCCGCTACGACTTCTTCTCCTCCTCCGTCTCTCTTCTTCCTCGGTTCCATCTGTCTCTTCTTCTTCTTTTCCTTTCCCGTATCAGAAAACCGTTGCCTAACTAAGAAGCTCTGGCTATGGTTTCGTGGACTAATTTCTTATTGAAGGGATCATGATGGAGTGGTTGGGCTGTTACTCATCTGATACCTCTTGCAGCAAATTGTCTTGCTGGAGTGCGACAAACGAACAAGATTTAGGTAGGTTTAGGCGGACGGGTGGCCTGTGTTTTTTCCTTCCACCTTTGTTGTTGGATTTATGGGGCCGTCTCGGCTCTTCTATTTGTTGTGATCCCTCCTCAGCTTTGCTTTGTCTCACAGGGAAAGAGCGGTGCATGCGCCGCTGTGGGGTTAACTCTGAGCATGCAAATTCTGAGTTGATCTAGTGGATGGATTTTTAGGTTCCAAGTGTTCTGTTTCATTCACCTTCAATCGCAACTGGCGCAGGAGATAGATAGAGACTTGACAAAGTGGGCACATTCCGATTGGTCTACCGGGAAGAGGTGCTTGGAGATCCCAGAAGACTACTATACCTTTTTGGGACACCTGAGATACAAAAGATCAAGTACGATTACGGAGAAGGAAGCCATGGGTCAGGAGAAGGGCAGAGAAAGGTGTGTGCTGGTGGGGCTTCAGATGAATGCCAATGGAAGGGAATTGCTCGACTGGGCTATCAGCAGAGTAGCAGAGGAAGGCGACCGTGTTGTGGCAGTTCATGTCTGCCGCGATTCAGGTACTTTCTTATTCTCTTAGCATCTGCTTCGACATAGTTTCGAGCTTTGTTAAGCTTTCTGACGATCGACTCTTCTTTCAGACCTCAAGACCACCACCACCCTATCTCTGATCGAAATGTTAGATGACCACCTGGCAGCGTATGAAGGCTTCTGCAATCTTAAGCAAGTGAGTCATCTTTGTTCATCTGCTGAGTAGTTCTATGATATGGCTTCCTTGCTTCTCCTGATTCGTAGCTTCTAGGTTGCGTTAGTGGGCCGGGTGTCACGGGGGAACTCAATTAGGAAGATCTTGGTGAAGGAAGCCAAGCACCGTGATGCCTTCAAAGTTGTAGTTGGAGCAAACAAGTACTACTCACTTGGGTAGGTGTTCGACTCTTCTTTTCCTTCTTCTTCTTCTCGTTGTACAAAACTGACAGCATCGATTGTTCAGCGGCTCGGCTTCACTAGCGAAGTATTGCGCCAAGAAGCTCCCTCCTACCACCTCAGTAATCGCAGTTCAGAATGGAAAGGTCCTCTTCGAAAGAGTGATTGCCAAGCCATCACCAGGTGAAATCTCTTGTCATGTAACCTTCCCATAGTTCAACATGAAGATATCAGCTTCTTTATATTTGATACCTTGAATTGGTTTCTTTCGCTGATTCAGGAGGAGAACCAAAACCCATGGAAAAGGCTGATATTTCAACCCCCAGGTTGCATAATGTCGAAGCAGGAATCGATCAAAAGGAAGAGGCCAAAGACGACGACAGTCTCGGTGGATCTGTCACGGTCCCAGTGCAGAAGCCAGCAGAGCCAAGTCTCGGTTGGCCCCTGCTTCGGAGAAGGGATGATGCCCGGAAGCTGTCAGTCGTGCAATGGGTCATGAACCTGCCAAATAGATCTTTATCGTTCACTAGGCTGCAGCTGGACCTAATCAAGGAGTTGAATAGTGTCCTCAGTAACAATTGCTCCAACTGCAGATGGTTTCGATACGATGAACTGCATCGTTCAACCAATCAGTTTTGTTCAGGTTCACCTTTCAGTCACTAGATATCTTCTTAGACATGGCGTCGCAGTCCTTTTACCATCATATCGATTCTGCAACAGGGAACATGATCGGGAAAGGAGGGAACAGCCAAGTTTACAGAGGATGCCTTGCAAATGGCCAACAGGTAGCCATAAAATTGTCAAAGCTTTCTGAAGAAGCATCAACGAATTTTCTTTTGGAGGTTGATATCATCACCAAGCTGGAACACAAGCTCATCGTTCCATTGATCGGCTTCTGCATCGAGGATAACACTCTCATTTCGGTTTACGATTACTTTCCCAAGGGAAACTTAGAAGAAAACCTCCATGGTGAGATCCACTTTCACATCATGCAATCTCACTAGTTAGTGTCTTATCTACTCTGCTTCTGATAAAGATGCCTGGAATATAGGTGAAAATGCTAAGAGTCCACTCCCTTGGGCCGTGAGATTTAAGGTGGCAATTGGGGTTGCTGAGGCTCTCAGCTACCTCCACAGTGGCTGCTCTAAACCGGTGATTCACAGAGACGTGAAGTCTTCAAACATTCTTCTCACTGATGAATTTGAGCCTCAGGTAACATCTACAAACAATTGATGAGCATGTAGAACTGATAACCAGAGCTGACATGATGTGAGCCATTCTACAGGTATCTGATCTTGGATTAGCCATATGGGCACCTACGAATTCAACCTATCTGACACACGACGATGTGGTCGGAACTTTCGGGTACGTAAGCCATTGACGATACTGATGACCAATCTCATTCCCAGTAGCAAACTCTGAACTAAGATGAATGCTATCAACAGATACCTTGCTCCAGAGTACTTCATGTATGGCAAGGTCAGCGACAAGATGGATGTGTTTGCCTTCGGTGTTGTGCTACTTGAGCTGCTTACAGGAAGGAAACCGATCGATGATGAAAACCCCAAGGGCCAAGAAAGCTTGGTGATGTGGGTAAGAAACCAATCCATTAGTTGTTTCTACTGCGATTTCTTGTGGCGATAGAAGAGCGTGCCTTGACTCACTTAACGTTGCCCATAGGCATCACCGATACTAGAAAGGGGGGATTTTATGGAGCTGTTGGATCCCGATCTCAATGAGAATTATGATGAGGTCGAAATGAGAAGAATGGTTGTAGCTGCATCTCTTTGCATTACAAGGAGAGCTCGCCTGCGACCTCAAATGAGGGAGGTAACTATCGGACACAAACCTGTTCGACGATATGACAGTTTAATTCCCATGTTTTTATTCTCATCGTGCCTTGATACAGATACTTACCCTTCTGCAAGGGGAGGAGGACATGGAGGCACGGATGAGATGCCACGTTGATGCCAGCTCAGACACGTTGGATTGCGAGGACGATGAAGCGTATCCATGTTCGAGCATCAGGTCTCATGTAGGCCTGGCGTTGCTCGACGTTGAAGACGATGCATCGTTGGCTAGCTTTGAGCAGAGCAACCTTGGTTCTTTGGATGAATACCTAAGAGACCGGTGGAGCCGTTCTTCAAGCTTTGAGTAGATCCCATGAACTGTATTTTTCTTCTTCTTTTTTCTTCGATTCTTCTTCGAATTTCTACACGAGTGCTTTGTGGCATGACTGCGGAGTATCAAAGCCAGTAAGATGGTTTGCGGTCTCAACATGAGAGAGAGGATGCAATAAGAGACGCACAAGAGATTGCTCTGTTAGTGGCGGGGTTTTCTTCAGAGGAGAGAGAGATTTGTACAGTGTGGATGTGCTTGATCAGAGTTCAAATGTATTTGGAATGACGCGATGTCTCTTGGGATAATGCCACTAAAGAGTTGCACAAAATCTTTGTTTTATGATGTTGTGAATGATTCTACTGCAAAACAAGTGTTTCAAGCAAATTGGATCTGATAGACTACAATGGAAAATAAATCAAATCTGCGGATGTCTTCCCTCTGGATTAACTTCTCGAGACAGGAAATCACGTGTAAGGATTCCCCTCATTGCATATAGGAACCTGATAGGGTGTGGTAATCCGAGAAATTTGCCGTCATAAGTGGGACAGCATATGTCTTCTCTCTCTCTCTCTCTCTCTCTCGGATCCAACACCCACACCCACACACACACGCACACGCACACCCCCTTCCTTGCAGCCACTCGAACGATCCACGTCACAACAACACAACGCAAGAAGCCACGATAAGAAGAGGGAAAGGGCAGAGAGATTAACGCGTGGAGGAGTCCTGGAGATCTTGCACAAAAGATTCAGCATTGTTGATGTCATGTAGATTAGCGACACCGGAGTCGAGAACAGAAGAGAGAAGAAAACGGACGTCATTCCAGTAACACTTCGATGCTGCCTATTTTTACGGAGCCGCAGAACGGGCACGCTTCGAGCAAGGTCGCGCAGGGCTCGCAGCAGCAGAGATGGTTGCAGGGAAGCAGCACCATGCACGCATCACGACGCACGCAGACCCTGCACCGTCTCCGCGTCGAGCCCATCCCAGCTGTTGGTTCGTTGGCTGCGCCACTTGCCGCCCAGTCGGTCGGTCCGTTGTCATTGGAGGAGTGGCAGGAGTCTCGTACTTGCTCGAG